AAGACTGGCCAAATCGATTCAGCCGTTTTCGAGTTTTATTCGGACATTTGAAGAGAGCTCCATTTTTATATAAGATATGCTAAATGAATATATTTTTTTTTTTTTGCTTACCCGATATCCTGAAGATTTGAAATGACACCCACGTTTCGTTAATGTTGATTTCATTCGTACACAAAATGCTCTGTCTATTCCCTTGTATTGGCTATTTGAGGCCATTGTCATTTGAGTAGCCACTGCAAATAATAATTAAAATATTAATTATTGCACATCTAACTCTTATGTAAATTACTTGGTATTTGTAAGCGCTCTTTAACAAATAATATAATATAATATAATAATATAATAATATAATATAATATAATATAATAATATAATCTTTGACTCTTTTGACCCTAAAATGATCTAAATTGTACAACAAATAGCTTATATAAGTAATATGATACAAATATGTATTATTCATTATGTTATATACATTATGACTTATCGATTATTTTTCAGTAAATCCAGTCACATCTTTTAAAAAAAAAACTTTGAAAGAGATACAAAATCAAATTTCTTGATGCAAACTAAGTACCAGAAAACAAAAAAATTACAATATAAATTACTGTTTTCATAAATCATTTTATTATAACAAACAATGAGATTCAGCTACTATTATTATTATCAATTTTCAATATATTATATGTATGGACGATTATATATAATAATTCTCTCTTGTATTTTGAAAGTCATTTTTTCCAATGCAATTAGAGAATTTTATAATATAGATATTATTTCTAAAAATTTATAAAAATACTTCAATTTTATTTTATAATTCCCACCGAGTCCTGAATATATACATTTTAATAACCATCAATAAATGTTGATTGCAGAAATAAAATGTAGAATGTTGAAAAATTAAATATATATATTGAAAAATAATGAAGAAAAAAATTAATATACAGAGCTTCTCTTTAAATATTAAATGATTGCGACGCTAAATAAATTACATGGAGTTTTAGTGACTAGAATTAGTTAAGTAAACTAAACTAAAATAGAATGTACTGGACTAAATCTAGGATACATTACCAAATTTAGGATACACTCAATTCTTTCAAACTATTATTAGAACTGTATTAGCTTTTCTCGGTAATCAGTTTTATCATTAAGCAGTTCCAAACAATAGACACTTAAGCATTGCACATATAAATAAGCTATGTTTGAAGTCAAACTAATATTATTTTGACATTTGTGCTATTTGGAGGTTAGTTTTTATCATTAAGCAGTTCCAATAGACACTTAAGCACTGCACTTATAAAATAAACTATGTTTAAAGTCGAACTAATATTATTTTGACATTTGTGCTATTTGGAGGTTAGTTGTGTTAACCCCTTGACAGTATTCAAAAATTAAATACGCTCGTATAAAACAGCAAAGGCGTCTTCGTGACAATTTCATGACTACCGACACACTGACAACCAACAAAAAGAAAGATGATTTATAAAAATAAGATAGATGTATCGAGACTAGCAAATCTTCAACATACTCTTATTCGAAACATGCTGTGTTGCCACGAAAGTTTGACAACATATCTATATTATCAGAGAATAGGCCCAAATATTGGGCCAAAAATAGTTTTTTGCAATATTTGTTAATTTTCAGATTTTTGGGTTTCAATAAATAAAAACTATATAAAGAAAATAAATGTCTAAAAAGAAAATCTTTATAATTTTAAATACCATAACATGGAAACTTCTAATTCAGAAAATCAGAAATTTATCAGTTAACAAAATTCATCGAATTGTATTCAAGAGCACATGTTTCACAAAACTACTGACTTGCATTTACAAACACATGTTTCACTTTTGAATTTGAAGTCTTGGTCAACAATACAACCTTTACTAGACTAAAACATCTGTAGATATCACTTGCAAATCGGCTCCAGAACAAAATCTTACATCCATCCACTAGGGCAAAATAAGTCAATCTCCAATGGAGCATAGAGCGTGTCGAGCAATGGAGCGGACATGCCGTGGGAATACGGCTTCAGGTGACAACGGGAGAGTATCATAAGAAATGCATATAATAATAAGAATAACAATAATGGAAATAATGGAGAAAAAATAATATAACAGAAAAGCCGCTCTGAAGAACGCCGCTCCGCTGGCTACGTGAGTCAAATGCAACCGCATTGCAAAAATCTCGAGTGCACGCAGAAGTATTTACTTTGAGTTTCTAACTCGAATAATCAATGCCTCTCGGGAGGCTGATTGATAATATGCATTGCATGTGTTCAATATTTCGTGTTAACAATTTTTATACAAAAAATAATTACATTGCAAATACATGTTCGCTATTCCCACAGTTCATATTACGAATCTCTCCTAGTAAAAATTGATTTTTAGAAATTCATTAACCTATTCTCGGATTTTTTTTTTAATTTTATTTGAACAGCGATCAGAACTTATGGGTTCTATGAGCTGTTGTGATTAATATCTTACAAACTACGTTTATTTTTATTACAGATGGCAACCCAAACAGTTGTCACATCTCTGTACGATAAATTTTTATTTCAATCTCTGTAATAGGGCAAGTATGGTGCAACAATGCCGGGTGAGGGCTATTTCACTTTTGGAAACATTATTGCTATCTATATTTCCAAGTGAAAATCGTTGTCAATGTTGCCTGACAACAGGCTGCTCGAAGTGGGTATCGAACCCGGGACCTCTAAAACAAGTCCCGTCGCTCTTAGCCGCTTACCTACGGGAAGTGGGTATCGAACCCGGGACCTCTGAAACAAGTCCCGTCGCTCTTAGCCGCTTACCTACGGGCGAGCCCGTTCTCGGATAACAACTATATTATATGTCGGTGCCAATGATAAAATAACATTTTTCCAATAAGAGAATGTTGAAGATTTGATATATTTGGCTCGTCTATTTTATTTTGATAAATCATGATTTCTTCTTGTTAGTTCTCAATGTGTTAGTAGTCACACAAATCTGTCATAAAGCTATATAAGAATTCATACAAGTGTTTATTTACATTTTGGGTAAAAACTAACTTCTAATTAACACAAATGTCAAAATACCATTAGTTTGACTTCACGTCTATTTAGGTTTTAAGTGTAACGCATTAGTAGGGGAGACTGGGTACGGTAGTGACAGTAGTCATAATAGCTAATATATACTGATTTTGGCATAGGAAAATCAAAATAAGGAAGATAAAGTATGTTTGTTTAAACAAGTTTTCACTATTGCAATTAGCCAGCGCCCTACATTAACATGATCTGTAGAGCACATTGCTTTAAAAGAATCAAAAGAAAATTCTCTGTTCGATTATTGTAATAATAACTCTTACTTGTATACAGACATATCACTTTGTTCGATATTTTGCTGTATGCCAAAATACGAAAGAGAAAATGAATGAAAAGTCCAATACAAAAAAAAAGATTTTATAAGAGTCCTTGTTAACTCTGTTTAACAAACTATGTTTTGTAATATATTGTTATATTACATTCAAAAGCTTCGCTTAAATGATTATGATGTGTTGTATTACATATTTCTGACAATAAAAGATGTTATAAATAGTTTTGGTGTTTATACCAATTATTTTTCAACCTATTTTTATGCCTGTCACAACCGTCTTAATTTAATTTCAAATAAAAAATAATTCAAATTTCTTAAACTTGAAATTTTAGTTTTCAAAAATACAAAAAATCAAAGCTTATCGCAAGACATGTAAATGAAAAATATATTTATAACGATTAAACATATAAAAACACATATAAAGATTTGAGAGTTTTTAAACAAGTTATAGGCTTGTTTTTTACCACAAATAATTAATAATTTATTTTAATTGCAATATAGACGGTAGCTTATTACAGGAGTAAAATACCATTTCTATTTATGTACCACCAACTATAAGTAAATTATAAAATTTCATGACATAAATGTATTAAATCAAAAATATGTTTCATAACGCCAAAAATTTGCAATTTGACCGATCATTAATGATTAGCATATAAGAATATGTATATTTTTGAAACCATAGCTAAATTAAGTTAACAGATTATGTTACCTCTTCAAATTTTACCAATAATAAATTATTACGAGTTAATATCACACTTTTTAATTATTTTTAATATTTGCATTTATTCCATTCTCATTATCAATATCAAATTTTACTTTTTGCTCGTCCTTAAAGTATGTCAAAATCAAATGCTTATCCAGTGATTGAAAGTCCGGATATTATGGTAAGTAAATATCACAAGTTGCTCATATTATCAAACTCACCATCTGGGTTATTGGTTCCAGAATTCGTGGCTCCATCGTCGGAACCAGCACTTGCAGGTGATGGTGCTCCAGATGTCGACGATCCTGAGGGCCCACTACCTGTGAGACCAAGTCCGAGTTGTTCTGCAATTTCTGCATGATCGCCTTGATGGACATAGTCAAATATACTACTACCAGTCATTTCCACCTACGGAAGAAAAAAATATATTGATAGATATAATATTGCAAAAGGCTCCTACAGAAATTATTTAAAGAGATTAGTCATTCAATATTTTTTTCGATGAATTTAGGTATTCTAAAATAAATCTGAATAAGATCAGTTTATTTATTTCATTAAAAACGTTTGGATTAATTTAGATTCGCAATGAAATTTTTGCTTTAAAAGCTTTAAAATTTATTAAAAACTGAAAAAATTGGATATTTAAAAATTTAATTAAAAAAAAGTATTTATTAGGTATTTTAATTTAGATTTTTTTAACGATCGCGCTGCATAGCTAGGAGAAACGAACTTCGAGTTTTAGAGACAAATTATCGAAGTGCGTAAGCGCCGTGTTGCAATCTAACGTGTAAAACCATAGTTTCTCACTATAAATCTTCATATGGAACTCATACAAATGTACACAAAATTAGTACTTATTATTAAAATCACTAACAAACGTCTGATAATTTGATGCACATATGTCCAATAATGATTTTTGTCCGCCAAATGATTTTTTTTTACTTTTTTCATTGAATCACCGAAAAAACTTGACCTGTCTCATTCAAAACGGACGCACCGTTTTATCAAGATCTGAATTACTGATTTTGGCACGTTTTTCCTCGAATATTCGAAACGGCTGAACCTGTCTTGACCAAAAACCAGTCACATGTTTCCTTATCGATATGAGTAGAATGTTTTATGAATCATTTAAATTTGTTGATCCGTGCTCTCGAATTCATCGACGAAAACATGTATTTGCACATATATAACACATACAAACCCACACATTACGTACATATAGCACACACACAAACATACATAAATCAATTTTTCACAAGGTATGTAAAAATGTTCAGAAAAATTTGAAACTTAAAGAAATGCAAAAATGAAAATTTTCATTTTTGATTTTTTACGATTTCTATAACTTACCCTAATTGTGAATTGTGATAAAATTGTAAGTTATAATAGTATTAAAATATGTACTATTTATATATTTAAAAAAAAATTGAAGCAGTTTCTCACAATAGAAGTCAGAAAAAATTGTGTGCCAGATATAAATACAATCGACTCTGATTGAAATATGATTCTCAATTAAATTAAATAACCAGTTTTAGAGAAATGTAAAACCTACTGTTGCTCTATGAGATTGCTCTACTTCAAAAAATATGTGAATAATACTCACAGTTAAATTAAGAATATTTTTATCTTTAAGTTCATGCAATTTGAAATGGAATTTTATAAAAGTAATTCCTGAGAGTATAGAAATAATAAAACACGGAAAAAGTGAAATTTAAAGAATTTTGTCAATCGAGTAGGGGAGACTGGGTAAGGTAGTGACAGTCATCCTAATAGCTAAACTATACTGATTATGAGATAGGGTCCAAAGCGCACAGAAGAAAGTATGTTTGTACAAACTTTACCCTACGGTAAGTTAAAAAGTAAATCACGGAAAAACTTATCAAAATGACACATTTATAACATACTAGCTAACCCGGCTATCGTTGTTTTGCTAAGTAAGGTATATTCTAAACAATTTCCAGAGAATCAAAAATATTAATACTTTAAGTGTATAAGGATGATTTGTTTGAATGCTATATACAATATGGTATTATAAAAACAGTAAATCCCATTAGTTTGTCTATATTTTGTCAATACAATCAAACTGGAAGTTTTATACACTTACTATAGAAAACATGGTATAATCCAATCCAAGTCTTTTTTAGTCTTTCGACTTATTGATTACGTTTCAAGTTTTTCAGATTTTTTTGGATTCTGGATTTTGTGTATAATTGTAAATAATACTACTGAGCTTATACAAAATTTTTAAATTTCTGCGAGGATAGATAAAAAATGAATTAAGTATTTCTTCTTTGGCCTGCTTTTTGAAAAGTTTCATATAACATCCGATGAATTAAAGTAAATTTAATAAAAAGTATTATGGATTTTCGAAGATTACTGTTTATCTCCCGATAGCAAAGTCATAAGAATCAAGGTTATAGCTGGTTATACATCTTTTTTCCTCTATTTTCAAATATTGTTGTTAAACAATGGTTAACTTTAGTGGTTTTCGACACATCAGCGGTGGGCCTTCATATATTATTATCTATTCTTCGATAAATTCTAGGAAATTATAACTGGGAAAATGTTATTCGACAAAATGTCCCTTTGATCGATACCAAATTTTGGTTCTGAATTTAAATAATATGAATAAAAAATAATATAACCTAGAAAATGTTTTATAAATACCAATGAGTATATAATTATACAAATGAGATCTTTCAGAGCACCGTGTTCGAGAAAAATATGCCAAAAAGTGCATTTTCATATTAACGTTTCAAGAAAGGTGATATTTTGAGTTTATAGTAACACTTATTGCGGCCCGTTTACTAACGTTTTTGTATATAAATAAAACTACAAACAAAACTTCTTACTACAATTTATTCATAATAAAATTATATTCATGTAAAACATCCTATTGAACGTAATTGAACATCATCTGTCAAAAACGTTTGACATTTCACGTGTTAGCCACCGCCCATTGTATTATTTAAATTACGCTTCTACAAAAATTTTCAAATAAAAAATGTAAAGTTTCTACGTGATTTTGAAATAATATCTCACCTTTTCGACCATTCTGGATTGGCACGAATTTTTCAGGACTAAGACTGGCCAAATCGGTTTAGCCGTTTTCGAATTTTACCGAAGCATTTGATTGAGAGCTTCATCTTTATATATAAGATTAAAAATATCGCCATGTAAGTTTTAATATTATGATAATGCAGATGAGAAATTTATAATTTCAATTATAAATATCAGTATATGTATGGAATGCGGTTGTCCATATGTAATACCAAAATTGTAGACATAATAAATTCATCTAAATATTATGTTTTAAATTTGGTTTATTTTATGTATGATTAGTATTGACAACACTATGTGTAATCATATTGGTCATTTATAAAATATAGTTGGTATTTGCGTATTTACAACTAAAAAGAAAAGGTTTCAAGAATTATAATTTTGGCAATTAGACTCGGGAGAAACAATCGAGAGATCCGAACTGAACATTGACTTTTGTTTTTGCGCTGACACTATGATGAGCCCAAAATAATGTAAATCTGTCAAGTTGAAATGCGACGTGTGTTGACAGGTCGCTACATATGAATCAATTATCCAAGTCGACAAGAAATTTCACCTTACAGCTTTCAATTTTCAATAAAGTCGTTGATATTTACAAAACACAACCCTAATAATTTGGTGCTACCAAACAGCCCCTGGTTCTTTCAATACAAACATACCAACACACACACACATAAGCATTGGCACATTAGTTAGTATGAGTCCGCATCGCATCGCATCGCATCAGAGCCGAGCCGAGCGAACTACGGCTTGTCGCTGATGCCGGTCACGTAGATAGCGCGTGCCGAACATCCCAAATGCTACGAGCGAGCCGGTGGTGTGCTGGTGTGCGCTTCGCGATAGCTTTGTAGCTTCTGTACCACGCCAAAACACGCTGGCTGCCGTGTGATGCTTAGTGTTAGAACGAAATATCGAGTACTGAGTAAATATCGATACTTTGTGGTCGATAGTGAGTACTTTTGCTATCGATTTTTTAGCTCGTTCTATTTGTCAATATCGATCTTTTTCGTCGATAGCACTTAAAAAGAATCGACAGCGTAATCTATGAACACCATTCATCGACCAACTATGTACACCACTCATTTTGCGAAATGCAATGCAATAGTCTCTCTAGGTGGTCATAACTGTTCAAAGAAGTGTCAAAAAATAATCCCGAAGGGTCATTAGTCTCAGAATTTATTGCTCAAAAACCCAAAATGAATATGACCACACTAATAAATAAAGATGTTTATTTATTACTCTTATGTAAAATGAAACAGCTTTTTCAAGTTCCAGAATGTTTTATAAAAACATATTCAACAATCGATGTATGATTATTTCAAATAATAATACTCATTCATTTCAATATACAGTAGAACCTCGATTATACGGACTAATTGTCGTCGACAGGCATCCGGATAATTGAAAATCCGGATAATCCAAATTATGAAGAATAATGTTTTGTTTATCAAAAATAACAAATACATATATGGATATCAACAAAAATCGATGTTTATTAGAAAATTAACACTTACATATTTTTTTACAATTATATTACATTATACATATAATATTAATCATGAGGTAAAATATTCAGGTGGTACGTAAAGTATCAATGAAGAAGAAAAGTTGCTTACGAATAATTTGTTGATAGTTTTTGTAAAATATCGCTTATAGTAGATGTACCTACACCATACCTATCAGCTAACTTACGGTCTGTTTCGTCTTTATTAATGATTCAATAATATTTATTTTATCTGTAGGGGATAACACCACCCTTTAAAAATGCATATATGCACGTCAAAACAAAGAATGTATTATTAATGTATATATAAAACTACTAGTAAAATATGCAAGTTCCGACGCGATTATGTCCGGATAATCGCGAATCCGTATAACCGAGGTCCGGATGATCGAGATTCTACTGTATTAGTATTTTGCATAAAAAGAATCGAAATATAATTATTTCAAATAATAATACTCATCCATTTCAATATATTGGTATTTTGCGTAAAAAAAAACGAAATATAATTATTTCAAATGATAATGAGTATTATTATTTGAAATAATTATATTTCGATCCTTTTTTACGCAAAATACTCATGTATTGAAATTTTTGAATATCAACATGCAAACATTTGGTTCGAGTTTCTCGGAACCATTTAAACTTTAAATCCCATCGCTCCGAAGGGATGTTTCTCTACAAGTGCCGAAATATTATCTTGACCGCCATTAAAATGAATGTTTATTGCTTTCCAAAGAGCTTCATATTGCACTTTTATGTAAAAATGTAAAGGCTTTTTAAAGTTGCATGCTCGCTAAAATTATTCATATAAAAATATTCAACAATTATAAAATATTATTTTACTTGAAAATATTAAAATATTGTTGTACTTAAAAATACTTAAAAAGTATTGCATATTTAATATAGTATCAGACTATTATATTGTATTAATCAAAAATACTCAACTATTATAACTTGTCTTTTTTTTAAGAAGTATAGAATGTGAAATTAGTATTGAAAAATTACTGTTAACATTTTACAATATTGAAAATGATTCTGATTTAACACACCAGATACAAGCAATACAATTCATTCTAATATTTTGATATGATATTTAATGAGTTTTAGATCTTTCTTGCACTTATGTTTGACTTTTATGAAAAGTACTCAAAATTCGATATTGAGTACTATCGATACTTTTGCCACGATATTTTTTTGGCATCGATATTTTGATTAGATACTTTTTAAATTACTCAATATCGATCTTTTGCCTCGATACTTCTAACACTAGTGATGCTACGGCATAGAGCTACGCGAGCGAGCTATGAGCTAGGAAGATCATCGACTCCGTAGCACGTCCACGTAGATACATGCAGCAACATGCCATGTAGCAACTAACACCGCTACATAATAAAGAGTTGCGCACCTTTCATTCAAGGTATACGTTTCTGTAAGAATACTAATAGTCAATAAACAGTATTTATACGTGTTTACAAACAAATGAATACACATACGAACAAACGAACATACATACATATATACATATACACTTATTTTACATATATATTCAGTCCATCTTCATACAATGGGGTATTTCTACTATGCGGATTAGAAATGGCGAAAGCCCGCCTATAACATGGTTCTCCTACAGCGCGGTTTTCGTTCAACAACCAATAAATTCCTTACGAGCAATATACGAGGTGTGGCAATTAAGTAATGAGACCGATTCCATAAAAACCGTATATTTTAAAATTATTCTACAACTCTGTCATTCCCTTCAAAGTAGTCCCCTCGGGCAGCTATACAACAATTCCAGCGTGTTTTTCATGCTTCGTAACATTTCTGGAAGGCTTATACTGGGAGGTCTACAAGTACCCTCGTCACGTCAGTCTAGATGTTCTGAATCAACTCAAAATGGGCATCTTTCACCACCGATTTTGTTGTGAAAAACAAAAAAAAAGTCACAGGATGACATATCGGACGAATAAGGCGGTTGTTGCAACACGACGATCTCTTTAGAGGTCAAATACAGGGACACGCTGAGGGCGGTGTGGCACGGCCCCTTGTCGTGATGAAGGATCCAGTTATGAACGATATCTGAGCGCATCCAGTTGAAGTTTTCGTAACATTTCGAGTAATTAGCGATAGTAGACTTGATTACGGTTTGCCCCAATCGAGCAAATTCTTTGTAAACGATTTCACGGGGATTAAAACAGACAATCATCACCGTTTTTACCTTCCTCGTTTTCCACGTTATCACGCCCCTCCTTAAACTCCTCATGTGATCAAAACACCTGGGCACAACTAAGAGCACTATCATCCTGCATATTTACAATTTTAGCGTACATTTCCGAAGCTGTTTCGTCCAATTTTACGCAAAATTTTTCCTAGAAACACACGTTTACTCAACAAGGCAGAGCAGGCAAACTAAACAAGCCATGAAAAATATATCAATAAAGAAGGGAAAGATGCCGGGAGAAGGGAAAGGCAATTTTAAAGTCGTAGGATTATCACAATCGCGGCAATATAATCAGTCCCATTATTTAATTGCCACACCTCGTGTGAATGATTCTAGTAACTATATATTGTTGTAAGAAGCCGTTCGGCTGTCCCTAAGAAGGGACAAGATATGTCTAATCTATCACTCGACAGCGCGCGATTTTGTGAATGACTCAGTTCGTATTAAAGCGTCGAAAATAGATCAAGAATATGCAGCCACCCACGACCAGCGCGCTTCATGCTTCTTTTGAATATTTTTCTGCGGACCGCCAAGAACTTCTAAAGTAGAAGTTTATTAATTTTATCAATTTTCTTCCATTAATAAATTAATTTTTATTCTTGTTGCATCAGTTTATGAAATATTAACTTTTTTTAATTTAATGTTTTTATATTATAATGTAACAATGTAATGTTTTTCTAAAATTCATGCAGCCCGCGATTTAGAAGGGTTGCTTATTTTTAGCATAAATCTACGCAGAGATATGAGAGTGTCCTCTTTTCATAATTCAGTATTAGTTATTTTTCGAAGTATAAAGTAAGCAAAATTTTCATTAAAAAAAACAAAGACATAAAAAACGATATATTTCACTTTTCTGTAAAATGAAAAAAAAACTGTCATGACACTAATTGTAAGTAATTATAAAGACATTGGAATCAATCCGCTATGCCTTTTGGAAATTGCTTTGAACTTTAACATAGTATTGTAAATGTATTTTATTAAAAATCCACGAATTCATATAAGAGAAATTGCATAACATACATGTTTACAGCAGATACGTTCTCTTCAGAATACGGCGCTGAGTTGCTTTTTTATAACGTCCGAATCGGTACCGAGCGGAAAGGGTTAATATAGTTTTTTTTTACCAAATATTTTATCTCTTATAGTTTGTTTATATAACCATAACAGTTTATATAATAACTGACATCAGTTTTAGTAGCATCAGAGCTGCAACACAGAACGTTAGCCTTTAAAATTATTTTGCAAGTATTTGTTTTGTTAGAAATCGGTTTTAGTTTTTGTTGATCAAATAAATAACCTTACATACATACAGAAGACTACAGACATAAGTTATAAGATAAAACGAAGAATCGGTAAAAAAAATAAATTCAAAATTTTAGTTTTATTACTTACGCACTATGTTAAACAAATATAGCTTAACGTTTTATCAAATATAATTTTTAGAAAATGCATATATATATATACATATATGTATAAATTTAGATTTCTTACCTGTGACAACCCAAGGTATATTGAAACTGTTTCAGATATGTATAAAAATCTACCGTCGGCAGCTACAGATAATGCGAAACCATCAAGAGACTGTAAGAAAAAAAAAATATTAAAATTAGTTTTAATACTTTGAATACAAAATATCAATATATACCTATAAACATTTTAAATGATAATGTATAATTACCTGTAAAATATGTGTTCCTTGATGCTGTTCAAATATTTCTAATGCTAAACTTGCTTGAGACCTACTCCTCGTTGGCGTTCCTGCAAGTAAAGGAAAAATATTTAATTAAAAGATAATAAAACACATTTATATACTTTTTTAAATTACGATCTATGGGTTGTATGGAAGGCAACATGGTAATTGTATTATCTTAGTTATGACTATAATTAACTTTTGTTTTAATTTTTTGCACGAAAGACTGGTTTCAATCTATAATCTCAAGTAAAATCCTGATATCACATTGCTTGATACTTAGCTGGCCGAAGTTGATATCGATCCCGAAACTAGGTTTTACTGGTGTTCTACGGGTAAGGCTGATTTATATACATATTAAATTTATTTGCTACCGTAATACTTTTATATTTTTGTTAATATTGAACATATTAAGCAGTTTTATAATAGTCATGAAATCATAATAGGTTTTATAATTGGCCAAGCCAATGTTGCTCGTTTTTAAAAATTGCGACCACCAAAGTTTGTTCAATTGAGCTATGAAAAAATTGACAAATTAGCTGCACATATTATTTATCGTTAGTAATGATTTATATATTTATTTCAAGTCCATAAATATAAATTGTCAACATAACCCTCGGTCATTATCCACCTAACCCTTATTTGTGATAAACTCGGATCCTAGAACGACCAGTGGTTTTAATGAAATGTTTTTATATACAGTTCATTATATGGAATCTTCTCTTAAGCTCGCCCTAGAGCCTACATAATTATTATCCTGATACGCGGAAGGGTTGTCCTTATTGGAATTCAATAAGTTGTCTTCAAGGTACTGATGAGTCATGGAATTTCAGTTAGTTCGTATAAAGTTCTCATAGAGACACTAGTGTTATTGGACTTATAAATGTGACAAGTCAAGCTATTTTTACAGTTAAAAATGGAGCTAAATTAATGAAAGATTTTTATTTTATTTTATTTTATTTGGCCTCTTATTTAATAAAAGATAACTAGAGAAAAAAGTAAGTTTTTTTAAAATATTTATGTATGTTGAGCTAAGTTGAATTCCATCTAGAATCCTTTTTTAATCTAGCTTGTAAATGATACTAATGACTCGATAAAATGATGATATTCACATCTTAACTACATGACGAAAAGTCACCAGGATATAACTGCCAACTTTGTTGTCACAAAGAACTACCTAAAAATTGTACGTGTACATATGTATATTTGTATACAATTTTTCACATTGTTGAGTAATTAGGTGACCTGGGCTTAGGTGAATTATACCATTCTTACTGGAGAGCATTGCCACAAATAATTAAGTGGATTTAATTAAAATTTTATACCAACGATTTTTATATCAACGATAACTTTATTAGACATCGATATTTTTTGTACACTTTTTTGTTTTGTATATAAAATCATGACATACTTTACAACTTGGAGATAATTTGCTCCACTTACAATTTACCACAATTGACATTACATCACTACGTTGTCAATATTATTAGGTTTTTCATATTTAACTACTCTAATTAAGGAGAATGTTTTCTGTTTACGTTTTTCTCAAAGGGTCGAGTTATTCTGAATCATTTCCAAACTAAAAACTGATCAGCACGATTTGCAACTGATAGCTTTCGATCAGTCTTAGAGTTTTTAAAATAGGTTCAAGGTTTCTGGCCAAAACGTGAAAGAAAAGTGTGGCACATTTTTTGTCCTTGAAAATTTTCTAAAGTTACATCGAATTGCTTTGAAAATTTTGAAATCGATGCAGCCGTTTCTAATAGAGCGTGAATGAAAGGTTTATTTTGGCTTACATACTCAAACACATGCTTTTTCTAATTTTGGTGTCAAATAATGCAAATTCAGGCTGACTTAAAACAAAGAGGAAACATAAATTGATTTCAACTTGGTCTAAAGATTTTCGAAAAATAAATTTCATTCTTTTTTAAAATTTTACAAACACTCATTGTGGTTGTTCTTTCCATTCATTATTCATTCTCCAAATTTTATTTTTAATGTGTTATTTAATTTTATGCATATAGTAAATGTGAGCGCTATTAGTTCACATTTTAAATGATAATTTAAAAATAATTTTTATCATTTTATATAGATCATGTAATTTACGGGCCAATTCTTCCGTAAAATATACCAATGTTAAATTGCTGTGCGTTTTTCATATAGAATGGTACTAAAAATTGTCACAATGCTATAAATTTGCTGTGCGATCAGGCGTTTCACACATAAATTCTAACTTCACTCATATCTTATTATGAAATATCAGAAAGATGCACTTTTAATAATATGCTACTTTTAACAATTGTGCATTTTCTACTTTAGATTTTATACCGAAAACACCTGACTGCACAGCAACCACATAGCTTTTTGACAACTTTTAGTACCACTTTATACGAAAAAACACAGCGTAACATAGCTTTATGGTAGAATTGGCTTATTAATCTCTAGATCCTCAAAATCGTTGCTTTACCAAAAACATAATTGTATCGACATTTCGGTATATTAACTCGCACTTGACCCTCTTTTACGTCCAAAAACCAACAAATTCTGTTTCCAGCTCTAGATATTGTTTAGATTAAGAGCGCCACACTCTATTTGAAAAGAAATCGTACGTTTATTACATTCGTCCCCTATATTTTGTTTTCTTTTCGTCGACTTAAGTATATTCTCTTCTCTTGCGCAAGTATTTTATATAAATGTTATTGAGGGCAATTCTTATTAATCTATAAAGCAAACAATCCACTATTATTACACATACTCCAACTTCGAAGCAAATACGCTTTCAGAAAACAATGAAATCGAAGTATTCGCAGTTTTATGCGATTGTGAATATTGTTATGATCGAGGCGAGACATGTTTAGGACGATAACTTTCTTATTTCTCGAGGTATGCAGATCTCATTGTTATGAAAAAAGCAATGTTAATATTATCATACTGTTATAAAAAAGACAATAACAGATACGCAGAAAAAATATAATAAAAAATGTATAAGAAAATTAGTGGTGTATGGCATAGTGCCTTAAGGCAAATTGCTGAAACTTTCCGTTCATATTTTAAACTTTTGATCTTGGAAAAAATTAGATTTTTGAAAAATTTTTAATTTTTGAAAAAAAAAGACTTTTTTGATAAAAAAGACTGAAAAAAAAGATTTTTTTATATTTTAGAAATTTTTGTTTTTATTTTTCAAAGCAGTAGAGATGAAATATCGAAACGAGTAAGTACCGCGCCGCAGTCTAAAGATCAAACGATGTTACGGAACCCATAGAAATTTAAACGAAATTTATATGTATTATTAAAATCTTCATAAAATATCTGATAACTTGATGTCTAATGATCATTCTTGTGCGCCATATGAAATTTTTTTTCTATTTGTACTAGATTTCCGAAACCGCTATACCTGCCTTCCCAATAAATGAATCAGTTTTTCATCTTGTCAATACCAGCAAAATGTTTTTTTTTTGAATTATTAAAATCGGACATTCCATTCTCTTAAAAACTGATTAACCGCTTTTGGCCCTTTTTTGGCCCCGTATCTTTGAAACTAATAATCAGCAAAATGTAGCAGAATGACAATATGCACAAAATTTTAATATTGTTTCAGTCAAACAATTTTCGATTACTTATTGCTACATATGTCTAATAAAAGATTTTATATCAAACAACAATTTGATTTTTTTATATAATGAAAAGTGTTGTAATTTTGTATTTAAAATGTTAAAGTTTAGTGTTTATTCAAAATATTATTTCTAAATGAATCGTGAGTTCGAACACCTCTCTGCACAGCCTGACATCGTGCAGTAGCGATGTCCAAATTAATTTGAAAATTTGAAAACATAGATGAAAAATAGTCCATTTTTGGGCACTGAGGTATAAAATGGCAATAAGAAATCTTTTAGACTATTCTTCCCTAAATCGAGTAGAAATTTAACTCGCAGTTCTACACATTATTATTATTATGTGTATATAGTCTACATAATCTCAAAGAAATAAGATTTACCACTTCTAGAGCTGTGTCGATAAAAAACATACACTTACATACACACATATACTTTTCTAATTTTGTATCAGATTCATATTCAGAATGACATAAAATCTTGAGAAAATATAAAATTAGAAAATCGGATTTCGGATCGGAAAACAAAGTTCAAAATGAAATAGTTCAAGCGCCTATGTCAAATACTATGAATTTGGGAAATAAACATATTTTGATCTCACAAATGGTATATCAAATATTAAAATATTTGTTTATTAATTTACATACTATACACTGTTATTTTCTACTAATTTTCGAATATTTTTGCAGCTTACCAAAACGGTTCTACATCTGTTAAATTACTGAATATATTTTGATTTAAACAAAATTTATGTAGAATAAGAAACTAGATATTCAATATATCACATAACTAATTTCATATACATGTATATATACATGCATATGAAATGTACCCAAAATTAGGTTTTCTCAAGTTATGTTTATACAAGAAATACAAATAATGTTAACACATGTTTGAATTTTTCCTTATATTTATGATCTTTCTCAATTTCTGTTACAAACTACCATAAAAAAGTTAAAAATCAAATATAATAAAATAAGCAAACTTATTTATGTTTAATCTATTATGTGTATAACAATGTTAATTATTTAAAAAAATTCATACCCCTTAAGTCAAATATTTAAAGACACCACAAATAAAACACGTCATAATCGATTACGAAAGTGAGTTTAAAATCTACTTTTAGCTTGTTATATTTATAAATATATTTTTTCACAAATTTCATGGTAGATAGCTTTTCACTACTATCTACCAATTATTGGCATGCAATTTTCCATCATCTAATTCGGCCAATTTTTCCAATATCGTAGGCGGTGCTGAAGCGTCAGACGTCACACAATAACTCAATTTAGGGCAGGTCGAAGGGGGCTACACATTCGTATGTAATAATAGAGCCTAAGTTGGTTCAAATTGCACCACGAAACGACGTCTTGTGTGACACATGTCTAAAGTCGTGACAGAAATTGAATAACACGACAGAACAGAGCAACAAGGGCCAATGCAATATTCATCGGATG